ACTATAAAATAAAATTTCCGAAAAAACGAATGATGATCTGATGAAATTTTTAATTTTGCAAAAAATATCGTTAAAATAATGTTACTTATGAGAAATTAAAATTTTTTAAACATTCGCATTTTAAGAATTTTTAATAAAAACCATACTGCAGAATACATTAATTACAGAAACTACAAAGAATTTTGTGTTACATTATTATTCGTTGATGTTTATTAAATCACAGAACAACTGAGCATGTTTGAAGCATTGACGATATGCATAATGTACAATGAACCTTCTCTTAGCCACAACTCCTGAAAATGGCCAACATTTCTAACAACATAAACAAACTTAATATTAAGCATCATGTCTCTAAGCCGACACCTCCACAAAATACCAAAATAATTCGGAACCAATCATGTCAAAGTTTCTACCAAGACAAAAAAAAAGCTCTACGTTCAGTCTACCTAATGCCATAATTTTTATTCAAGTTATGAATTTCAAATTTACTTCCACGCGATTTATGGTTTATTGGACTATCGTATTTTATTTTGATAAAACAATGCTATTCATTGCTGTAATAACTATTGCAATTCAGAGTACAGTTAAAGAAACTCTTATTTTCTGCTCAGCACTTACACTCCGTACGAATAAAAAACACTCGCTACTAAAATACATTAGATTCATATTCCTCCTTTTTACGACTTACAGGCGCTAGCATCACACAATTCAAACAAGAGCAACTGCTCCATCCAATGAAGCAGGACGGAATGACGCATAAAGGCGACTGTTAAAGACACTCTCCTGAGAGGCCCAGTCTGGGAAGGGAGATTTTTATGGCCATGCAGGCCAAACGGAAAGGGTAACCCCCGAAATAGTTTCCAATCCTAGAAGCCCTTTACAACACTTAACTTGCAATAAAGAGATGTTTACACGCACCTGAATGAAGGACTCTAAAAGACTACGCGAAGAATTTACGGGAGTCATAAAATCGCGCCAAGTGCCCATAAACGACCATTTAACAGGTAATTACCATTACGTCTTGGCTTACCTAGAAATGGCTGGATCAACTACTTAATATCAAATAAAACCTCTGTGGCCACATCGAGGACTTTATTAGGACATTTAAACGTCAGCACTCCTTTCGGTTTACTTAAGCCAAAGACAAAAAGGTTACACATTTATAGTCCAGAGGACGTAGCCAGTTAGGTGGAAGTTCTTATGGATGTGAAAGCGTTTCCTCCTCTCTGTTCTTGAAGATACGTTTATTAAGTACTGCATAAAAAAAACAGAGAATGTATATATATATATTGTTATATGTTTTCTTAATGCCAGTATGCTATAACGCAATATAATAAGTTTATTGTTATTTTTTGAATGGATATTATTTCTTACTTTTGTGTGGATATATCAAAAACAACAAACTGATAAAGTTGTTAAAAACCTAACAAATGATCCCAATTAAAATACAGGCACAGAAAGACATTTTTCTTCACTATTACACAATAAAAAAGTTCATAATGATATTCGTTCCCTATATTACACATTCCTAAAAAAGTTCATAATGATATTTATTCTCTATATTACACATTCCTAGGCCTCACATACTTGTTGACACTCAGTAGCATTCCTAAAACATTCCAGTAAAAAAACATTTTTGTACATGTTTTATTCTCAGTATTAAAGGCACATGTAAACAAATTATGCATGTCTAGCTTCTTTTATATATATGTATACATATATGAACAATTTTAAGAGAATGAAATCAATTATGATTTTTTCATATATTTCAGTAAAACACACATGAAGGTAATATTGCTTAGAAAGTATAACCCTCTCTAGATTCCAGCCTAATTTTAATTATCAGTGAATGTACACATATATTACATTAACCTGCTAATTCTGTCTGAGGTTTTATTTCTTATATTCACTAAGTAAATCTTGCACTTTCTAATTTCATGCCTTTTTATATGGCATATTTAGCAGTTAAAAAGAACTAAACAGTTATTTATATACAGCTTCTTTCGAACAATTAAATATGATTTATAAATTATGTGAAACCGATTAGTACCTGCAATTCTAATGGGAAATTGTTCCAGAATTTTTTAACAGAATAGAATAGAACTGAAATTGTTAATGTTAATTAATTAATTTGTATGATTTCAATGCAATTTTGGTATATGGTAATCAACATACATTTACTTCAAAATGACATCATTACATTTAACCTGAATTTATTAAGAACTAAAAGCTATGACATGCTTTATATATCTATTCTGACTACTCTACTTATAATCAGCTTTCAGTGCCGCTTTATAAATTTCTTCTATAGCGTGGTTCATTCCCTACAATAGACGTTATTTTAAATGTTTTGCTGTTCAGAATTCTAAATCTTTTGGTATTCAAATCAGTCTGAAGGAGCGGTTATGCATTGATCTCGATCTTTGTTACATTTAATTTCAAATCTAAATTAGAACTAACTAAAATCAGATAAATACAATTTGACATACTAGCTATGAAATTAATCATACTTCCTTAATTATCGGCTCATTTACAAACCTAAAAAAAATGAATCAACACCCCTTTAAGAACTAATACGTTTTTAACCTATTATACCATACATCATTTAGTATTGGTATAACAGGGTAATGTAAACAGGTTTTACATCTTAAGAAAAAATTCTAGTATCACACTAACGTTAATTTTCTTTATCTTGTTAAGTATCACATTACTCTTATCTTGTTAAAGTTTACTAGAATAAATGTTTTGATTTATAATACAAATGTAGCAACATTTTTTGGAACATATTTTAATTGGTAACAGTTAGCTGAAAAAATATTGCTTCCAAAAAACGTACTTTGTGAAAATACATACAAAACTTGCAAATAGTAAAACTGTCCTCACCTAACGAAAGAAACAATTCATTTTTTCAATTTTATAGAATTCAGTGATTCTGTATATATGTTTATTATTGCTCTCCATGATATGCAGTTGTTCTAAATAAATGCAAACTATAATAAATACCTACCAATAATAAATTAATGAATCTTCAGTAATGCCATTATTTCTTATATTAAGTAAGAATTTTCATAATTATACCCCTCATTTGAATATTTTCATCAGTATCTAAATGTAAACTTACAAATCTCAGCATAAGTATTAACAGAATTTAAGTTGTCTACATAACTTTTAAACAACTCTTAAACAGATTTTTTGAGGTATCAACTTAAAATGTCAGTCATACTGATCTTGAATGACTGCTAAAATTCAATTATCCCTACTACAGTAGCAAAATGAAAACTGAATGTATTCTCATGAGCAGAATTTAAATTTATATTATGTTTACATAGCATTTATTAAATAATCACCAGACTAACAGTTGGAGATGAAAACATACTGATCTTGAATCATCGCTAATTTAGTAAACACAATGAAATGAATGTTTGTTTAGTCAAGAGACAAACTGTACTGCAAATAAGCATGAGATAAATGCACAGCAAAAAATAATCACGTTATTTTCAGTTACTAAATTCGTAGCATCAGATGTCAATGCACAAAATTAATTGTCAATATATTAAAAAGTACTTTCGTTTTGGTTTTAACACTTTTGTACCCAAAACCAAACCTTCTTTCTGTTTCAAACAAAATTATCGATTTTATCACTGTATGTCTACTAAGTGTACCTAAGAGGGAGGGAAGATATCTACGTCGAACTCTGCTGCTTTACCTGCTAAAAGTAAACCAAATTCTACATATATGCAACTCACATGCTATATACGTTAATTGAGGAAGGCAAATTCAAATTATATCAATGAAATCATTAAAGAAAAATCAAGATGACATTTTAACAAGGCTACATACAGCTAATTTATTTTACCAATTTCATCAAGAACTAAAGAACAAACTGGTTCCAGCACTGGTGGTACTTAAAACTCCCTGAGAATTATAATTTCATTTCACGTAAGACTGAAGTGTGTGTGTGGGGGGGGGAAATCGGTCTGAAGGATATATTTGTTTCCTTTCTACTTTATTTTCTATACGTTTATATCTTGTAAACATGATTGTTCGACAATTTATACGCACTTACAACTCATAAATGTATATCCTGCATACTACATGTTTGTTTAGTATATGCCAGTCAAGAGTCAGATGTACTGCAAATAAAAAGGAGATAAATGCAGAGCAAAAAGTAATCATGTTATTTGCAGTTACTGAATTCACAGAATCTGATCAGTGCATAAAATGTATTGTTCAATATATTAAAAAGTATTTTCGTCTTGCTTTTAAGCAGTAGAAGACTTTCGTATTCAAAACCGAAAGTCTTGTTTTAACCAAAGTTATCGATTCTTGTATTTCTAAGGTACTAAGGGGGGAAAGGGAAAAATCTAAGTCGAACTCTACTGTTTCACCAGCTAAAGTACATCAAATTCTATATATATATATATATATATATGCAATTAACATGCTTTTTGCGTTAACTGAGGGAGGCAAATTCTGTCAATGAAGTCTGTCATTGAAGAAAAGTCAAGATGTCATTACATAAAACTAATTTAATTTTACCAAATTTACCAACAGTTAAATAACAAACTGGTAACATTATTGGTGATACTTTTAAAACTTCCAGAGTATTACAATTTCATTTCACGCACAACTGAAGTGAAATATACTTTGCTTTCTTTAAATTTATATTTTGTAAACATGACTTATTTCACAATAATCTCAAGAGAACACTTTCATTTCATTTTTCACTACATACGAAAGAAAAATTTAAAGAGATTTGTTTGAACAACAATTAGCATAAAAATTAAGCAATTTTCTGACCACAGAATATAAGAATCAAGTCAGAACTGTTTTTCCCCCCCCTCTTCCATACTATCCTGCGATATTTTTCATATTTATATTTGTTTATCAGCATCCCTTAACCCTTTAATTGTTAGGATATTTAAATAATTTTGGTAAACGTCAATCTTTATTGAATATTTTGATACTTCTTGGGCGAAAATAAACAGGCAAATACAAACCTGCAATAGCCATCCATGGATAAAATGCATTGGCAGGAGTTTGGGCAACAGCCGGAGAGTTTTGACAACACTGCTGCCAGGCCTCGGTGACACGAGGGGCCGTAGAGTTCTCCGTTGCAAATGAACGCATCTGTTCGTTAGCCGCCCTCGCGGCCACTCCAGGCCAGTTTACCATGTCTTTGACGGCCTGACTGAATCCGTTTGCCTCCTTGGCCAAACACTCGGCCTTAAAAGTTGCCTCACCACCTGAATATAGTTTACAAGCCGCATTAGTAGCACCATTTGCATCCGCATAAGGGGCGGCCTCGTGTGCGTTGCGGGGCGTAGGGCCCTGGCCGAACGGCGGGACAAGTAAACTCTGCGGATAGCGATACGATTGCGGTTCGGCGGCCGTGGACGCAGGTCCGTTGTAGAAACCGCTCTGTTCAAAGTACGAGTTCATCATCGGCGGATGATAACTTCGCCTTTTCCCCACTATCACAAAAACAAAGTACTTCGGATGATGATCGAAGAGAATCACTAGCGCGCTGCAGCACCCAAAGCAACGACACCCAGCATGCAAAACTATGACTCGGGGGGAAGTTTTTCGGGGGCCGTTATTTTTTACCAACGTGTTGGATTAAATTTGGCCATGGCCGCTGCCGGGGAGAAACATAGCTGGTTGGGCTCAAACCCCGGAAGGTGGGTTCCCAGCCAATCAGAAGCAGCCGAACTCTTTTCTCTGTATTGTTGTATCCTGCCGCCATTCAAGAGAGCTGATGGAACTACGCACACCCGCGGCGCCTGCTTACGTGATGCTCTAAAGCTCTGTTTCCCTTCTTTGCTTTTTTATTTTTAATACGGAGGATAAAAAAAAATAAAAAAGACTTTGTCTATTCTTCTGTCCGCATCGCCCGTCTACCAGAGAAGGATTCTTTGGGTTCTGTTTGAGAATTTTTTTTTCTTTCCAGATTTCGAATTTAGAAGATCCACTTCAACCGTGTTCAAAATAAATTTAGGGGCCAGACGAATATTGCTTATGTGCTAATTTCAGCGAATGTGAAACATTCTGACACGAGTTCAATATGAGCATTATTTCAAAAAAATTTAATTTTTCATTTGTTTCATTTCCTCTAACGCAGCTAATATAATAATAATTTATAATAATGCTAATTGTTAATTATTAATGTGTTATTAAAGTGGTTATTTTATACATAATTATCAAAAGAATTATTTAAAATTACTACAGGAGACTTTTCTTATTTAAGAAATTAGAGTCACTTTTTCAAAATTTTGAAATATTAACTTTCATTATGACAAATATTAAGAGAAAAATAATTATTTTTGAAATAAAATTTTAGAAATATGATAAATGCTAAGTAGAAATTCTTCCTATTATCATTATTTTAATGTTGGAATCAGTAGCCTTACTTATTGTGTATTATATTATAAAGATCTGTTAATTGAGTGGTAATAACATAAGCAACCAAAGTGACTTAAGTTTTACGAAATATTTTTATCTTCAAAAATTGTTTTATTTCTTTTCTGCAATGAATATATTAGCAGCTTTAATCACTCTCCTCATAGATAACTCACATTTACTACATCATACAGGTACTGGTTGGTATCCAAAATAATTTACCAAAATTATTGGTTCCCTTAGAATTTATGGGTCATTTAAGGGTTATTTATAAATAAATATGTGTACGGTCCCGGAGTATGTATGAGTTATTACTTAATTTTTTAAAAAAATTATTAAATATATAAAAGATAACTTTTCGATTACAGTGAATTACGTACGGATCCAGGTAGTAATTTTTTTCTTTTTAAGTTTGTCATCTTTGATATTCTAACCGGTATTTATTTATGCTTTTGGAAATACTGGTTGTTTCTAAATATGCTCTTCTTAGGGAGATGGTTTTCACGAAAGGGTCCACTGTAATAACTTTTGTTAGTTGCAGTTTTAATATATCAGACTCAGTTTTCAAAGCTTTTGTATCTAGATTACATATAATAAAATTTAGCGAAAGTCGAAACTATATTTGTGTTATGGAGAGGAGTATCTTATCTTAAATATTAAGAACCCTCCAAAATTATATTATAATAATTAAAATTAGATTATAAATAAGTATACTAATACTGTAATCATGGTTGAACTAAACGTGAAAGCTGGAAGCCTTTCTTTTAACCAAACGTTAAAGATGTACGTAACGTTTTTAATAAATAAATCTTCCATCATAAAAATGGGATATTGTCAATTACAGCAAATGTATTGCAATAATCTTATCACAGCGGCGTAAGTCTATTTTTAAATGACCCACGTTTCCTCACAGGATTTTTAGCACTTTCAGGCTTTGGGGGTTCGTCCCCCATCAACTCCTCCAGCGGTCGTTCTCAGGACCTCTGCTCCTGTAGGACCCCTCCAACCAAAGGGGCCGCAGCTGTTACCTGGGGGCGATTACCCCCTTTCGGGGTACCGATTCTTCCGACCGCATCCTATCAACCGATTGGTTTTAGCTCCCTGGCATGATTTACATCCTACGTTTCCACCCAAAGGGACGACCCAGTCAAAGCGTAAGCAATGATTCTTCAGCCGAAAGGCAGAGATGTAACAGCTGAGGATGACGGATTACCTCACTTCCCACAAGGCAAAAACATGACAAGAAAGTAGAAGGTGCGATAGAAAAAAGATCCGGCGTGTTTTGCTACTCAAAAGTGATGTACCTTCATTGTGCGGATTAACTTGAAAACGGCCAAGTTTCCTTGATCTTTGAACCCACATTCAACAAAAGGCAGATAAAATTCCAGAATTAAAACTACATTGTATAAAACATAAAAATGCTGGAATTCCAAGAAAATATTTCGTAAAAGGGCTGCATCTTATCTCTTAGAAATACCTCTAAGAGATAAGATATCTTATTCTCTTAGAAAGGAAATCCTGACCCTTAAAGAACATGCTATATTAATATCTGCCTACATGATGATATGCGGGGAATGAAACTTTCTCTGAAATCAGAGAAATTAATAACTGAAGAATGGAACAATGAAATTTCAAAATTTATGTAAGAATTGGATAATTAAATTGACTATTTTACTAATTAGTCTTGATTAATTAAAAAATTAAATACATTTAAATATTTAATTAAATACATTTAAAGTATTTAATTAGGCAAAAACTAAAAAATTTAATAGAATAAAATAATTCCTGTATTAAATATATAAGAACTAACTGAAAGGTAATTTGTGCAGCGAATTTTTATGCTTCCAGTACTGCTCACCCATCATAAGCCTACATTATTATGTACACATACTAAAATCTTTAATCCATAAAAGACATATTATTTTGGGCAAAGTTACTTGCAAATATAAGTGGATAATAATTGGTTGGAATTCTCAAGATTTTCTTAGCTGCTTTGTACGGGGGGGGGGGGGGGGGGGGGGGGGGGGGGGGAGGGGGGGGGGGGTGCGGGGGGGGGGGGGGGGGGAGGGGGGGGGGGGAGCGCGGGCGGGAGGGGGGGGGGGGGGGGGGGGGGGGGGGAGGGAGGGGGGGGGGGGGGGGGGGGGGGGGGGGCGGGGGGGGGGGGGGGGGGGGGGGGGGGGGGGGGGGGGGGGGGGGGGGGGGGGGGGGGGGGGGGGGGGGGGGGGGGGGGGGGGGGGGGGGGGGGGGGGTGGGGGGGGGGCGGGGGGGGGGGGGGGGGGGGGGGGGGGGGGGGGGGGGGGGGGGGGCCGGGGGGGGGGGGGGGGACTGTTAGATTTACTTAATTAAGCAGGGGGGGGGGGGGGGGAGGGGAAGGTAGCTTTTTCTTTTTTTTTTGTTTTTTTTTTTTTTTTTTTTTTTGTTTTTTTTTTTTTTTTTTTTTTTTTTTTTTTTTTTTTGTTTTTTTTTTTTTTTTTTTTTTTCTTTTTTTTTTTTTTTTTTTTTTTTTTTTTTTTTTTTTTTTTTTTTTTTTTTTTTTTTTTTTTTGTTATTTTTTTTCTTTTTTTTTTTCTAGAAAGATAGCTCTCAACAACATGCTTTGTACTTAGCTAAATACATTTAAAAAAATTTAGATTAGCAGTGCTCACTGTTAGATTTTTACTTTAATCCTTTCCTACAATATTTCAAATTATTTGTATAAATTTCAATCATCTGCAAACGAAAGTTTAAACGCAGTTTGATTACAGAGACTTTTTTAATTTGATAAAACATATTTTTAAGAACAAAATCTCCATATCCTTTTATTGTATTCTATTCTTAAGTATTACTGCTACTGAATTTTCTACTAAAATCCCCAAGCGTTATTGAAATCTCAACTATATATAAAAGAAATTGGAGTTTCTATAAAAGTAAACAGTATTTGTTTTGAGATAATGTATTACAAATCAATAACACTTCATCTAAACTTATATGAACTCTACATGCAGTTGAAAAGTAAAAAGTAGCTGGAATAAAATAAGTTTTTTGCCCTCTCTTAAAAAGAAACAACTATTGGTAAAAGCGGGAATTATTTTTTCATTATAAACATGACTTTCATTATAATCATTTTTCATCAGAAACAAAAGAAGATAATCTAATTACGGACATAAAAATACTTTATAATGATTTCAGAAGAATGCTATTAAAAAAAGAGGAATTATTTCTCTCTGACAAGTTGGCCTTTGGGCCGCAACGAACAATGACGAAAAATCTCAAGAGTGTTAAATAATGAGTCAGCTATTACCTTTCCTTCCTTCACGCTTATTAAGCCGCACAAAACGTTCATTCGGAAAGGAAAAGAATAAAGTAAACTATAATACAAAACTGAGGATTTCGTAACTTGTTTTCAGATCGTTTTCGGAGCACGTATCCGCAAGATGAAAAATTACTTCCAGGTGAAAAAGCTGTAGATAATTAAAAAATTTTGGCACTTTTTAACGCAATAGAAAAGCAAGGAGAGAGGGTGAGAGTTTTCATAGAATTTTAAAAATATATTTTATATAATAATACTTTTGTAAAAAATATGCTAACACAAGACTGCTTGAAATAAAAAGCAAAATGCTCTAAAAATCCTCGGATGAAATGCTAGAAAATTTTCTAGAATTATTTTACCATGAAAATTTGTAAAGAATATTATAAACAATTTATAATCAGAAATTATTCAAGTCATAGCATATAATAAGTTGCTTAATTTCGGATGTTAATTATTTAAAAACAGCATGTTTTTAGAACTTCCGATAGAGTCTCACGGGCTAGTGATTAAAAATGTTTTAATCCGTACAGTGTTGCCACTGCTCGCTTTCAAATTGTTGAATTTGTTAATTAAAAATTCATCCAAGTGTTACAAAATATGAAATAAATAATACAAAAATATACACTATCATTCTATGAAAACAGTGAATATTTTTAATTAGAAAGGTCATAAATTAAATGCGTTTTTCTTATTTAAATCAATCTCAGTCAGATGCAATAAAATAATGTTCTTAAGAATTGCTTTCAGATAGCTTAGTTTGTTAATCCACAACAGACAGATTCAGTTTGAAAGGTAAATATATTACATTTTGCCGAATGGCAACAAACTTGAATGAAAAGTGAAAGGACCCATTTATAGTGATTCGATGCAAAATCGCGTTTCAGATTAATAACCCTTTTGGGCTAATAATTAAAAAAATTGTCAATTCAGGTTAATTAGATCTTCAAAAATTCAGGTACGATTTTTTGGTATACTGATATAAATAACAAAAAATTAAGAAAGATTTTCGCATTAATTATCATTTAAGATATTTTAATTGAAGAACCATTAGTCCTTCAGTT